GACAAAGGATGGACACCAGAAGTGATAGGAATGCATGTTAAGCACCAATCCACCTTATTCCCTGAAGAAGCATTTAAAAATTTTAAGGGAAAGTCCCTTTTTAGCAGGGACTTAACCTTTGTATATATTCTGTTTGAAATGATTAAAGTCTAATTCATTTTCACTCTACTCCCAACTCTCTCTCCATTCTTGATTTCCAGTTTCAATTAAAGCTACCATTATTCTACAAGATTCCTAGCTTGGAAACTAATATTGTGTATTTATTTGGCATCCAAAAACTGTCAATAGCAAAAATGACATCCTACACTACAAAAATATTGTGAGCATATAACTAAGAAAAAATTGTCCTAGGAGTATCTTTATACAGTACTGCAAATTATAAGGTTAGCAAATTAAATCACTCTTTCAGAGCTTCTAAGTTCACTCTGAGAGTAGTCATTTCTCACCCTTTTCTCAGTTCCAAAACACTTCAGGGAGACATTTTGGAATGATAATGACCCACTTTATCAGTGACTCTTAGCTATAGAGGGTAGGAAACACCATATTATCTTTCTTAAAATCTCTGAGGTTGTTACAATGTGCACTTACTCTGTCGAAAACACTTTGCAGTGGTCATTTGACGCAGCAGTTCAAGTACCACCCAGGATGCCCACATCCCGTATCAGAGTTCCTGGATTTAAGTGCTGGCTCCACTCCGATTTCCAGCCTCTTGCTAATGCCCATTCTGGGAGGCCACAGGCGATGGATCAAGTACTTGGGTTCCTGCAGAACTCCAGAGTTCTGTGCTCCTGGCTTTGGTCTGGCCAGGCCCTGGCTGTTGTGGTCATTTGGGGAGTGAATCAGGGGATGAAAGATTTCTCTGCATGTCTCTCTCTGTCTCTGTTTCTCTGTGTGTGTGTCTCTCTGCCTTTCAAATAAATAAGTAAATATTAGAAAAAAAGAGAGAGCAATGATTTGTTCCAGGAAGAGTAATATAAAATTGCTCCATAATAAAGACTATATTAGATTCATGAGTCAGCTTTAGCTAAGAGTATTCTGGATAGTGTTAAACTTAAAACTGCATTTTTCAGTTATGGCTTGTAAACATAAAAGTTTTTGATTTAAATATATTCAAGATCTAGTACAATGTATTATAATGCATGTGGCAATAAATCATCAATAAATATTAAGTAAAACAAAGGTCAGAAATTTGGAAATACTAGAGAGCTCCTGTTCAGTCTTGATGATTGAATCAGTTCTAACAAATGGATACGAAGCTATTTTACAGAGCCTTAACTATCATAGAGATAGGCACGAATGGTACCATAACATAGATAAATGTAAAGAGCACTGAGATTTTGTTTTATGAGTTGATCTTACACTTCATCCAAAGTCATTCAGTTGTGTTTGCCAGATAAACTGATTTATAACAAACTCTTGTGGCATAGATGTTGCTGTTACAATAGTTGGGCTTTCACAGAATTTCAAGGGTTGATAGTAACACGATTATTCTACATGCAACATAAGAACCGTATGTCAACCAAGGGTCACATTCTTATCCCCATGGAAGCGAACAGCTCTCCAAATTCGGATTATGTTTTTGAAGCTACTCATTTAATAAGTGATAATTCAAGCTACTTCTTTTCAACCTCTACTTCAATACAATCTCTGCCTCTGAACAACTCAATTATCTGTGGATACACAACATATTCAAATACCAATAACTAACATAGAATGGGATAAATACTGTAATAAAGAAATGTACAAAGTGCTTTTTGGGAATGCTTGGGGAAAGCTTTGGTAAGCTTTTCCCCTGGAGATGGGGAAGGCTTCAGGAAATCTTTACAATCAAGACGACTCAACCTGGTACTGGAAGGGTGAGTAGGATGTTGTCCTATAAACAAGGGGATGGAAGGATACACAAGCACAAGTGCAGTGACTGAAAATATAGAAGGGGTGGGTGCTGTGGTGGAGAAGATTAAACTATCACTTGCAGTGCTGGCTTCCCATATAGGGCCCGATTCAAGTCCTGGCTGTGCCATTTCCATTTAGCTCCCGGCTAACGTGCCTGGGGAAAGCATCTGAAGGGTCCTTGGGTCCCTGTCACCCTTTGGGAGACCCGGATGAAGCTCCTGGCTCCTGGCTTCAGCCTAGTTCAGTCCCAGCTATTGCAACTGATTGGGAAATGAACCAGCAGATGGAAGATCTTTCTCTCTCTTTCTCTCCATCCTTCTCTCTCTCTCTCTCTGTAACTCTGCTTTTCAAATAAATAAATAAATCTTTTTTAAAAAGTAGGATAAGATAGGAAAAACTATAAGGTACTGAAACAACTAAGAAAGAGTACAGAAAATTACCGGAGGATGAGGTATTTTGATTTTTTAAAAACTTTGTTACAAAGGACCTTGTGTATCACGCTCAAGTTCAATAAACAGTGTTCAATGAAAGAAGGAATTCCAAAAGTTATGAAGATCCACTCAAGTGTTTTAGGCAGGAGAGTCTCTTGATTAAGTTGCATTTTAAATGAATCTGTCCTGACTTTTCCATTTCCGATCCAACTTCCTGCTACTGTGTGGAACGCAGCAACTGATGGCTCCAAGTACTTGTGTCCCTGCCACCCACGGGAGAGATCTAAGTTGAGTTCCAGGCTCCTGGCTGTTGGGAGGTATTTGGGTAATGAACCAGAGGATGGAAGATCTCTATCTATCCCTCTATCTTTAAAATAAAATGAAAAATAAAGATATAAATGTAAAAAACAAATTTGAGTCAGAGAAGAAAAAGAGTGAAAACGAGGAAACTCCTTGGAAGTCTATTGTAGCTCTTCAAGTAAGAAGTCATTTAGTTCATCCCCTTATTTCATAGGCAATGAAACTGCGATTTCAGAGAAGAGATTTGTTGAAGGTCTCAAACGTGATCAGTTAGAAAATTGGCCTCTCTCCTTACGTATGAACATTTTTTTTCTACCACATTTTCCCACCCACCAATTCTTATTCAATTTCTGGTGCAATTGTGTAATGACACAATTTTGTCAGTAAATGCAGACAGTTGTCTAACCAATAAAATTTAAGCAGGATCTTTGCATTCTGCTGTGTGTGTATTTTAGGGAGACAAAATTGATCCTTGTTATATGAGGATTCATTTGACTTAAAAATCAGCAGACAGGGGTAACACTGTGGCATAGAAGATAAAGCCTCCACTTGCCATGTCACCATCCCATATGGTCACTGGTTTGAGTCCCAGCTGCTCCACTTCCAATGCAGCTCATGCTAATGTGCCTGGAGAAAGTAGTGGAAATGGTCAAAGTGTTTGGGCCCCTTCCCCCATAGAGGAGATCTGGAGGAAGCTCCTGGCTCTTTGGCTTCGGCCTGGCCCAGCCCTGACTGTTGTGGCCATCTGGGGAATAAATAAGTGGATAGATGATTCTCTCCCCTCTCTCTCTTCTCTCTGTATCTCTGCCTTTCAAATAAATAAGTAAATCTTTAAAAGAAATCAGCAGATCAAAGTAACTTGCATTGTCAAACTATTTCTTTAAAGGTAAGAAACAAATAATTAACCAACCACATGGTTGTTTCAGAATCATATTCCTGTCTTTACATTTCTGCAGGCATTCTTTTCTCTCTGTCACGAACCTCTTTGGCCACAAAGAGTTTCATAAAGCCCACTTTTCTCATGTTCCAGCCACATATGCTATCCAGCGTCCCATCTCCCTGCCCCTTCCTTTTCTCATTTCTCAGTTCTCATCCTCCTTTCATTTCCTCCCTGTATTTCATCAGCTGCCAACTGCCAAGAAGGTAAATTAGGTTTTTCCTATGTCTTTCAACTCAATTTCTTAGTACACTGAAACTGAAAAAAAAGTTAAGGTTTTGTCTCCAAAAAATAAGTTGGACTTGTATTTTATCATTTGATTGTCCAGGCAGCATTGTTCTATCTCGTGCTGTAGGCAATTGTCCCCCCCCCCCATATCCACAGCTGCAGATTCAGTGGACCCCATACTATTGAGGAAAACCATGTGGTCTCTCCATTAGGGAAGGAGGAACAGACTGAAGACTCCTGGCTTTCTTTGATTACTGAGAACAGCTGGTCTAACTGTGGGTCCAGGTTACCCTAAATCCAGAATGTTCTGAAATACTTAGGGTGGAATAGACAATGGTAGAAATTGTCAGGACCCGTACAAGATAGATCAGAATGCCTTCTACCTTTCCCTTCTCCCATAATTCCCTGCACTGTGAGGATCAAACTTGTTCCCTACAGGACCATTTCCCACATGCAACTATCGAGTGAATTTTAGCCACAGGGTAGCTCTACTCTTTCCAGATAACCAATGGATGCTAGCATCAGCCATCTACAGTTCAGAAAGCAAAAAGTTTGAAATTTTATAGCTTTCTCTGCTGGATATTTTCCCCTAAATATCCACTGATAATGTACTTGAACTACCAACTGATTAAAAAAAAACTCATATTCCAGTAACTATGATTTATCTTTAGTGAACCATCAAAATAGGCATGGGAGAAGAAGCATTGCTCCTCCTCCTCCTTCTTCTTTTTCAGAATTTAAACAAAGCATAGCCTCTAATGTATTTAATCAACAGAAATAGTACCAGTAAAATTTTCCAATAAAGTAATTTTTCATCAAGTGGAATTTATTCCAGCGATGTCTTCTGGGAATCTTCTGAAATGGACAGCAATAAATAAATGAAAAGGGGGTAGAAAAATATATATGCTCTTGATGTCTCCCTTAAAGTCCATAATCTCTACACCTGTTTCTTTCTTTCATCCTTGGGTGATGTTAATCTTCTGTTTATTTTGCTGCTGTAGATCTAAGGACATGTCATTTACTTGTGCTCCAAAAGTTGCTTTATGCCTGTTCTTTCTTACCACACAAAAAGTAAAGAGGAAAAAAAGCGTGTGTGTGTGTGTGTGTGTGTGTGTATGTGTGTTTGTGTGTGTGGTCTTGGTGATAGTGTTGGTGGTTAAAAAGCAAGTTGGAACTTCCTCTTTGAACAGTTGCCCTTTCCTCTCACACAGGGAGATTTCATTTTGTTTGAGACTGGATACAGTTGAAACCAAACCATCTACCAAGGAGAGGATATGATGGCTAAGAAGCCCCCAAAACCAGCCCCTCGCAGGATTTTCCAGGAAAGGTTAAAGATTACTGCTCTACCCTTGTACTTTGAAGGTTTTTTATTAGTTAAGCGTTCAGCATACCAGGTAAGTCTATAAATAACAATGGTAAACCTGAGGCTTCTGTCTTAAAAATTTTATTTTATACTGATGTGATGTGACAAAGCCTCCTTGTTTCTGTTGGGATTAAACTCTCTTCGTTCAGCTCAGAAAAAGGACTTTAATTTTGCATAATTTAAATATAGTATATGACTTAAACATATATGTATATGTTATATATAAATGTGTTATTATACATTATAAAATAAGGTTCTAATGTCATAATTACAAAAATAAATAAGTTAACTTTTCCAAGATCTTATTTAAACATCACAAAGAATTTTGGCTTAAGAAAACAAATGTTTCCTATATTTTCTCCATTATTTACTACTATGCTTCAGGGATGAGGTGTGCCATTAAGATAAAATATTGTGATCAAAATTAGATCTTTTCTCCTACTCTCATCCATTTGAAGTTTACAATGATGAAATCATAAAAAGGTGGTCTTTTAAAAAATTGTGAAAATGAAACAATTAATACTGTTTAGTGTTATGTATGTCTATTTTTTTTGTTTCCTGACCGGAAAAAGTATGTATATTCTAATGTTATGTATGTATGTATCTTGACTTTAAAGTCAAGATAGTGACTTTAAAGGATAATATTTATGGTGTTATTGTGGGTAGAATGTATACTAACCAACATAAATGTTTTCAGAAATGAAATAAGAATTACTTTATTATGATAATAAAATACATTTCCTGAGGATCCATAATACTTAGGGAAACATTTGGTATATGAGTATATCTATAATAGGACATTTGTATTTCTTTCATATATAATCAGATAATTTAATATTTGAGATAACGATATAGCAATTTATCTTCTGGTGTAAATGTTAAATGTGCATTGTTTTTCAGTGTGTTGTAATATTTCTTTGTTTGTCCTATATACTTTCAAAGTAAACTCAATCTTGTCACCACAGGTTAGCCACATTATTATACTTTTCCAGGAAAGAGGATTTGAGAAAAAGAAATTTCTAACTTGTAATTTGCTTTTGGTTATTCTTGAATGTTTTCCAAAGTATTGCTGATAACTGTTTTGAATAGCAATTTCCTTTTAAGAATGCATGCCATAATTAGCAAAAAGAAAAGTGTTTTGGAGTCTCAGTAAAACTTGTCTTTGCTTAATGCTTTCGCCACTTAACAGCTTGTGGTCTTATGCAAGCTACCCAATCTCCTTGACATCTTCAAGTATAAAATGCAGAGAACACATACTCCCTGCATCCCAAGAGGGAAAAGTAGGTTTTAATCAATTTATTCATTCGAGCAGTGTTTCTTGAGCATAGTAACCTATTTTACTAGTTACATCAACGAGCAAAAGGCATTGCAGTAAGGAGAGAAAAATATCCGCCCAACTCTGCGGATAATCATTTTAAAAGTTTATTTATTTGCAAAATGGACAGATTCTCTTGTATAACTGAGTTGGTTTCTGTGCTTATAAAATGGACCTATAATAATGGGTGTATACCCATGAGATATAACATAGGATGGATTTCTATACTTGGTTTTTAATATGCCATCATTGTGATCCTTACAGTAACTCTTGTGAAGAGACTATTTTATTCACCTCGCAGATGAGTGACTTGTGGCTCACAGAAGTTCAAATTTCTTCACCCACCAAGAAGTTTTGCTTGGATTTGAGTGTGATGCACTTGACATCATGCTGCCTCAAACTCAAGTTCTACTTTCATTTGATCACAAACTTCTGAAGCTTAGAGATATCTAATCCCTACATATTTTATTACATTGATATCAACAATAAGCTAGATAGGCTTTAAAAAGCATTTATTTAATCGAGTGAAATGGAGATAGTGAACTTAAACATTAAATACAAAGTCATCCAATGGTTATAAAGCTAGCAATAAATTCAGAAGTTTCGTTTCAGTCTCTTTTCTTACATCAATAATTTAATACAAATAATTGTTTTTTTAAAAAAAGAAACTTTGTGTTGGGGTAGGGTTTTGGTCTAGACGTTGAGCTGCTGGTTAAGACTTCCATATCCCATATCAGACCACCTGGGTTTAAGTCCTGGCTCTGGCCTCTGACTCGAGATTCTGCTAATGTGGACCCTGGGAGGCTGCAGGTGATGTCCACACGCATTGTAGACCTGGATTGAGTTCCCAGCTCTCAGTATCAGCCCAGCCCCAGCAATTGTAGGCATTTAGGGCGTAAGTCAGTAGATGGAAGCGCTCTCTGTCTCTCTCTGCCTCTCAAATAAGCATAATAAAAGAAACTTTATGGTAAAGGTATTTCACCCAAAAGTGTGTCCTTCAAAATTTAGTTTTTAAATGTCTAAATAACTCTGTATATGTATCCCAAGATGTTGATTATTGGGATTGATATATTTATAAAAGACTCAAATTATTCTGGTATTCACGAGGTCTTACCAGAAAGTAAATCAAGACTGACTTGCAGATCTCTGCATGCTGGATATAAGCTTGTTCCCTCCTTAGGTTTGCAGCTGTGGCTGTAGTTCACAAGGCCTGCTGCTTTTGTAACCTTACTTTTCCTCCAAGGGTGCCTTTGTTCTCAACTCAGTGCCTTTACACTTGCTTCTTTGCCCACTACATAACTGTTCTGTAAGCCTTTCTGTGAATCCACAGATTTGCTAAGGTGTAAAATTCCCATTTTTCTGATTACTTCTATGCAATTCATATTTTGTGTAATTTTTCTCAGGAACAGAAATGTCCTGCATGTATATACAGAGAGAACTCAACAAATTGTGACTGGCAATTGGTGGTACTAATATATCTCTCTTATGACAGATCAGGATGAATGAGGCCAGTTAAGTAGATGAACAGGGTGGTAGACCTGGATCTCAGGGTGTTCCCCTCCTTTCCTTTCCTCCAAGAATCATACAGGCTTGGGACTGGACTAGATCTTAGAAGCCGCACTTTACTAAAACTACACAGTTGATGTTCATGTTCCCTAAAATCACATCTATATTTCCCCTCCTCCTGCCCTCTCCTTCACTGCAACTTAATTCCAAAACACACAGTAATCTTGATTCCAACGTTCACTGCAGAGGCTTTCACTAGAGTAGGGTTCAGAAAGTCTCAAAAAGAATGCCATTACAGACAAAAGAGCTAAACAACTCTTGAGATAGATTTGAATTTTTAAAGTATTTAATAGCAGGTCAAATTGAAGAAACTGCAAGTGTTTTTTTTTTTTTTAACTGGGTGAAATACTAGTTAATCTCATGGTTTTCACAGAACATTTCATTGATCATAGTGGTAATTTACACTAGCAACCTCCAAACTCAAATTTTTCAATGCAGATTTTGTAAATATCTTACTTTAAAAAAACATGAAAAGGTGAATTCTGGTCTACAAACTATTTCTTCCTTCTCACACTTAATCCCACTGAAGATATATTTTAGAGGTTTTTAAAGTTCATCATCATCTCACACATATATAAAAATCAGCATATATGAAAAAATTATGTGGGGGCCAGCATTGTGGTTCAGTGAGTTAAGTCATTGCTTGTGACGCTGGCATCCCATATCAGAGAGCAAGATAGAGTCCTGGTTGCTCCGCTTTCAATACAGCTAGTGCACCTGGGAAGGCAGCAGAAGATGGTCTAAGTGCTTGGATCCCTGTCACCCATGTGGGACACCTGGATGGAGTTCTTGGCTGTATTAGGCCTTGCTCTCAGACCTGACTTTTACAGCCACTTAGGCAGTGAACAAGCAGATGGAAGATTCTCTCTCTCTCTCTCTCTCCATTTCTCTCTGTCACTCTGCCTTTCAAACAGATCAATAAATAAATACTTTTAAAAATATTACATGGATAATGAAAAATACAAAGTGCCTGCCAATAATGCAATGTTCTTTATTTTTTAAGTGACCAACATTTACCAGATATTTTCTACAGCATAGGTCTTATATGCTTTACCTATATTATTATTCCTTTAAATTCTTCATTCAACAACTTTATGACAAGAATAGGAGGCTGGTTTCCATAATTTTACTCTTGGCACCTTAACATTAAACTCTCATATAGAAGACAAAATAAAAGATCACCGAATCAGGATCATAACAATATAATTATGCTCTTTAATAAATTCACAACCCTATACAACTATCACCACTGTCCCAGAATATTTTCATTATTCCAAAAACTTACTCTGTGAGAAGTTCCCTACATGTCTCCCCCTCCTCAGATATAGGATTCACATGATGAAGACCCATTACTTTCATAATTGATAGAATCCATTAAAATGTGGCTTAGATTTAAGGCTAAAACTGTGCTAACATTGACTCCAGATTTAGGTAGCCTTGAACCACCTTGAGTCGGTGACCCAGACTGAGAGCCACAAGCCTGCACCTCTTGAAAGTCTTTGCTTTATGGCTGGGAACAGAGCAGATCCACTCTCTGATAGAGTTGAGAGAGGACAGGAAGCGCTGACTATGCTGCCTGCCCAACTCACCAGTTGATATCTAGCCCTGCTCCCTGCGAAGGATATCAGTAATTCTGGCAGTGCTGTGCGGGATTGATTGGAGAGTGCTAAGAGGATGGCAGAAAGGTCAGGTACAGGGCAATTGCGATGGAAACAACACTTTGCATCCTACATGAAAAGAAGAAAGGAAAAGACTTCAGATGGAGTTGAAACTAAGACTTGTTCTCTGGTCTTATTAAACTGTTTGACTCAGATGTGCCAGGCATCTGTGTGCACTAGACATCTAGATTTCAGTAAACAGAAAGACTCTTTTTGCCCAGTTTTATAATTGCTCATTTAAGAACCTCTATTTGCTGATCATTCAATTACAAGCCATTTAAAAATACTTACCTATGGGCTTGGTGCTGTGGCCTAGCCGGTAAAGCCACTGCCTGCAGTGCTGGCATCCCATGGGTGCCAGATTCAAATCGCAGCTGCTCCACTTCTGATCCAGCTCTCTACTATGACCTGGGAAAGCAGTAGAAGATGACCCAAGTCTTTGGGCCCCCGCACGCACATGGGAGACACAGAAGAAGCTCCTTGTTCCTGGCTTTGGATTGATCTACCTTTGGCTATTGCAGCCGTTTGGGGAGTGAATCAGCAGATGGAAGATCTCTCAATCTCTCTCTCTCTCTCTCTCTCTCTGTGCCTCTGCCTCTCTGCAACTCTCTGCCTTTCAAATAAATAAATATCTTTAAAAGATTTATTTGAGAGGCAGAAAGACAAGAAAAAGAGGGGATGAACACACACACACACACACACGCACACGCACACACCCAGAATTCTCCCATACACAGCTTTACTCCTCAAATGCCTCAACGGCCAGAGCTGGGCCAGACTGAAACCAGGAACTGGGAACTCAGTGTAGGCCTCCCGCTGGGGTGGCAGGAACCCAACTATTGGAGCCATCACCCACTGCCTCCCAGGATCTGCATTAGCAGCAAGTTGGAATCAAGAGCTTGAGCCAGGGATCAAACCCAGGTAACCTGATATGTTATGTGAGTATCTTAGTCACTAGGCCAAACACCTGCCTTTTGTATACCCCTTAGAATTATCCTTTTTTATAGTAACTTGTTCTTCGTTCAGGAGAAATCAATAGGCTCCTTACATGTTATAGTCATCTCTCAACTGGAGGCTAAGATGGAATGGAAAGACCACAGGATTTGGGCAAAGATACCTTGCCCCAAATTCAACTCTGTCCCTAAGGCAAATTGTTGCAATAATACCACCAGTTTTTTCAACTCTTACGGTAAGCACCTCACCTTGAAATGAAACTTTCCTATTAGTCTCCCAAAGAGGTTGAGCCTATTTTTTCTACCTTTTGAAGCTGGACTGGGTCATGTGACATGCTTCAAATATGCTTGTAAGGGATGTGTGTTCAGCTTAGCCGCTAAGATGCCAATTAAGACACCCCAGTCCCATACTGAAATGCCTGGCTCCACCTCCTGACTCCAGATTTCTGCTAATGCAGACCCTAGGACATCGAGTAATTGAATCTCTGCAACCCATGTGGGAGACCTGGATGTATTTTCTGGCTCCCAGCCACAGCTGGCCCAATCCCAGGCATTTGGGAAGTGAAGCCGCAGATAGGAGATGTCTCTCTCTCTTTCTCTCTCTCTCTCATTCTCTCTGTCATTTTCTGTCTCTCCTCCTTTCAAATAAATAAATTAATAAATAAATAAAATTTTAAAATATGCATATACATTGGGTTTTTCTCTTTCTTGTTCCTGGGGATCCTTGGGCCAGCATGGAAACAAATACAGGTTAACCGACTGAAGGATAAGAGATTCCATTTGTCCCAGCCTTCACAGTCTTCCTGAACTACAAGCTTAGACCCTGAAGACGTGAATGATGCCTCTTTAGACTATACAGCTACAGACAAGGTGTCCAGATGAGGAACACCATCATCTAGCCACAAAATTGGCAGAAATGCAAAATGCTTGCTATTTCAGTCTTCACTGAGTTGTGGGGTGCTTCCTATACAGAAAAAGTTAAAAAATAAAGCATCTTATTTGCTATGAAAACAAAGTATAAAAATATTCCATCAAGAACATGATAAAAGATAGTGGTTGTAATTCAGAATTTATTTAATATTGAGCTTCCTGGAAATCTCTCTGTCATTCTGCATATCAAAATTAATAAATAAATCTGAAAAAAATATATTGGCATACAAAATATTTTTTAAAATTTTATGTGACTTTCTTATATTAATCAAATATTTCATGATGGTTCAATAACTTGCAAAAATGCAGTTCATTAAGCCCTAATAGAGAAAATGATCAATGTATCTATAAAAATTTGAGTTTTTAAAAAACATTTGAAAAGAGCTGGATATGGAAATATGTCTTTAAATGTGGAAGGATTTTATTTTTTAAACCAACATGCCATTTTTTATAATACAGCCAATCTTTGTATTTATTTAAAATTGACTTTCATTTGAGTGAAATGAGAGTCTAAGTAGGTAATTTAAATTTCTTAAACTTTAAAGTCAAATGTCTAAAGAATCCATAGGAATGTGAATATATTAATTAAATATTTACCATATATTCATTGGACTTCAAGTTCTGCATTGAAAGTACTAAATTATATATATATATATTTAAAGATTTATTTATTATTTATTTGAAAGTCAGAGTTACTCAGAGAGAGAAGGAGAGGCAGAGGGAGAGAGAGAGAGGTCATCCATCCACTGGTTCACTCCCCAGTTAGCCTAAACAGCTGGAGCTGCACCGATCCGAAGCCAGGAGCCAGGACTTTCTTCTGGGTCTCCCATTTGGTGCGTGGACCCAAGGACTTGGGCCATCTTCTACTGCTTTCCCAGGCCACAGCAGAGAGCTGGATCAGAAGTGGAGCAGCCCGGACTTGAACTGGCACCTAGATGGGATGCCGGCACTGCAGGAAGTGGCTTTACCCTCAAGGCCACAGCACCGGCCCCTAAATTATACTTTACCATTATACATTTCTCATACTTCCTTATTCTATACCAATAATGTATGTTATCTATTGAATTCAAGAGACGAGCCATGTGCTCTGCTGAGTGCTTTCCGTGTATCAGTTCCTTACGTTCTTTCATGTCCTACACGGTGGATATCTATGCTTGTACTACCCTGGATCCTTAATTGGCCATATTCCTTGTGTCAGAAGCTTCCACTAAAATGGCATAAGAAGTCTTAAGTCAATGAGGAGAGTTCTGGGATATGATCTACTTAAACACAATTTAAATTATATTATTATTTCTTTTTTTTTTTCTTTTTCTTTTTGTTTTGACAGGCAGAGTGGACAGTAAGAGAGAGAGACAGAGACAAAGGTCTTCCTTTTCCATTGGTTCACCCCTGAATGGCCGCTGCGGCCAGCGCGCTCCGGGGATCCGAAGCCAGGAGCCAGGTGCTTCCTCCTGGTCTCCCATGCGGGTGCAGGGCCCAAGTACTTGGGCCATCCTCCACTGCACTCCCGGGCCACAGCAGAGAGCTGGCCTGGAAGAGGGGCAACCAGGACAGAATCCGGCGCCCCGATCGGGACTAGAACCTAGGATGCCAGCTCCGCAGGCGGAAGATTAGTCTATTGAGCCGCAGCACCGGCCTATTATTTCAAACATTATACTAAATAAATCTGAGAAAGATTTAATCAAGAGTTAAATGTAAAGTTAAGCAATCAGACTAGTTAATTATTCAGGATAAAATAAGAACCTTATATCACACAAGTAATTCAGAAATTTACAATGGAAAATATCAATAGGAAAATAGTTGGCCATATACTAATGAAATAATTCTTTCCCACAGGAGTATAAACATTACTGGACAGAGCTGAGAGGAACTACACTTTTCTTTTATACCGACAAAAAAAGTACAAAAGTAAGTGTTAAACATTTTCAGCTGATTCAATATTTTTAACAATCTACCCTTGTCACATAATTTATTATTCATTTTGGATTTTCTGCCATTCAATAATAAAAATTCTCTGATAAAACCAATTCAAATATGATAATTAAATCTGTAAGGTTTGTCAATTCTGATAAAACTAAAGGTAAAATTTCCTGACCAACTCAAAAGAAGTCATTAAATCATGTTTTTCACTTTGCATTATTTTCTTTCTCATTCTAATAATTAAAGCTTTATTAAAAGGTAAAAATTTTAGACATCTGTATACAAATTGCTTAATATAAAATGATAATTCTGGGCACTGGCAATGTGGCATAAGTTAAGCCTGCGTTTGTGACACTAGCATACCATATTGTTTTGTTTTGTTAAAACAGAATTTACTGCCTTTTTTTTTTTTTTTTTTTGACAGGCAGAGTTAGTGAGAGAGAGAGAGACAGAGAGACAGGTCTTCCTTTTTCCATTGGTTCACCCCTAAAGTGGCCGCTATGGCTGGCGCGCTGCCAGGATCCGAAGCCAGGAGCCAAGTGCTTCTCCTGGTCTCCCATGCAGGTGAAGGGCCCAAGCGCTTGGGCCATCCTCCACTGCACTCCCTGGCCACAGCAGAGAGCTGGACTGGAAGAGGAGCAACCAGTACAGAATCCGGCGCCCCAACTGGGACTAGAACCCAGGGTGCCAGCGCTGCAGGCAGAGGATTAGCCTAGTGAGCCGTGGCGCCAGCCAGACACTAGCATATCATATTGAAGCACAGATTTTAGTACTAGCTATTCTGCTTCTGATCTAGGTCCTTGCTAATGCACCGGGGAAGGCAGCAGATATTGGTCCAAGTACTTGCATCCAACACCCCACAGAGGAGACATGGATTGAGTTCCTGGTTCCTGCCTGGCCCAAACCTGGCTTTTGTGGCCATTTGGGGAGCGAACTAATGATTAGAAGATCTCTGTGTCCTGCTCTCTCTCTCTCTCTCTCTCTCCCTCTCTCTCTCACTCTGCCTTTCAAATGCACAAATAAATCTTTAAAAATGATAGCTGTGAATTCCCCCACTTTTAATTTTGCTTAGTCTGAAGTTATAATCTCAAAGGAGCAAGATGATCTCCAGGGCATAACAACATACAATGTCACAGCTCATTTTTCTAGAAAGTCAAAAGAGCACTCCCAAGAAGTAGAATTTGTATAAGCTTAAGCATGAGAATAAAACAATTGTAAGACAGTTATTTCCATGAATTTCAAATTCTGATTGTCTTATTTTTTTTCATGAATAAGATGTGATTTTTTTCTTTAGTGGCAAATCTTGCCTACCTTGGGATGCTGCACTTACAAGAGATTTTATAACCAAGAACTTTAAAGAATAGCATTTTGGATCATGAATATGGCACCTCATGCTTCTCAGAATAACATTATTGGATGCCCACATCTAACAAAAGAAGGAAACAGTGCCTCTATGATGAGCAGTCTACCTACTAGTATTTCAGCAATATTATTGGTAAACTAGCCAGAAGTCAATTTAAAACAACAAATTTAAAAGGATTGTCTTTTATTACAGTTCTGAATATATAAAAATTATACAAGGGTGATTTTAAATATTGTAATAAATTTTAAAAACCTAATTCTGTTGTGCATTCTAATAGTATCAGAAAATATCAAAGACCCTGGTCTAACAGTGAACAAGAGAGAGAACAGTTGTTTCTCATTTACTAACAGGCAAGATACATCATTGATTAGTGACGGAGGGACTGTTATCCTTAAACAGACTGTCAGTTTTTATCCTGCACTTGCCACTGTTACCTATGGGGTAGTAGGTTGGTTAGTTAACCTCTCTGTCTCAATGTATCAGATGGGGATTGGTAGGACACAGCTGACATCAATCAGGCAATCTAAAGAGAGCTTACTAAAGATTTAAGAAAATATTCAAGGTGGTGGACAGGATGTAGGGAAAACATAAATGGTATTCAGTGCCTTATTATTTTCTTTCTTTCTTTCCTTTTTTTTGGACAGGCAGTTAGTGAGAGGGAGAGACAGAGAGAAAGGTCTTCCTTTTCCGTTGGTTCATACCTCAAATGGCCGCCGTGGCTGGTGTGCTGCGGCCAGCGCACTGCGCCGATCCGAAGCCAGGAGGCAGGTGCTTCCTCCTGGTCTCCCCTGCAGGTGCAGGGCCCAAGCACTTGGGCCATCCTCCACTGCACTCCTGGGCCACAGGAGAGAGCTGGCCTGGAAGAGGAGCAACTGGGACAGAATCCGGCGCCCCGACCGGGACTAGAACCTGGGTGCCGGCGCTGCAGGCGGAGGATTAGCCTAGTGAGCCAAGGCGCTGGTCTTCAGTGCCTTATTATAACACCTAGGAGTGAGATTAGGGAGTTGAAGGGTGGTTGGGAGAGTTTTGTGGAGCAACTGCACAAGACAATAGATACTTACTCTCCTTATCTGCTAGTGTTTTCCTGGGTCCAACTCAATGGGAAGTCAAAGGATAAGGGAGTCCTTTGATGTGGTCCATACAGGTCTTGGTGCAGTGTTGGGTAGAAAAAAAAAAAAGTGAGTCTAGAGGGGCAAATAAAAGATATCCAACACAATTTTCAAATTCCTAAAGTGAGGATGTGAAAGTAGCCCATCCTGTAAGGCTTTCAGAAGAATGAAATGGGCTGATACACGTGAGGTGTTAGCATAGCTGGCACAGGGTGAGCATTCAAGCACTTTACATGTTTTATCTCATTTAACTCTTTTTTGTTATTTTTCTATTTTAAAACTTTTATTTAGGTAGGTTGCATGTGTCCAGGAATCTATCCATTTCTGATAGGTTTCCCTGTTTGCTGGTATACAAGTCCTTGTAGTAATTTCTGATGATTCTTTTTATTTCTATGGTGTCTGCTGTTTCCTTTTTCGTCTCTGATTTTATTGATTTGGGTCTTTTCTTTTTTTAGTTAGTTGAGCCAATGGGGTGTCAATTTTGTTTATTTTTTCAAAAAACCAGCTCCTCGTTTGGCTGATTTTTTTGTAATTTTTTTTTTTTTGGATTCAATCCTGTTGATTTCTTCTCTGATTTTAATTATTTCTCTTCTCCTACTAGATTTGGGTCTGGTTTGCTGCAGATTTTCTAGATCCTTGAGATGCATTGAAAGCTCATCTATTTGGTGCCTTTCCAATTTCTTAATGTAGGCACCTATTGATATAAACTTTCCTCTTAACACTGCTTTTGCTGTACCCCATAAGTTTTGGTATATTGTGCTGTTATCCTCATTTACTTCCAGAAAATTTTTGATTTCTCTTTTGATTTCTTCTATGACCCATTGTTCATTCAGGAGCATGTTGTTCAGTCTCCATGTATTTGCATATGCTCTAGGGATTCCTGAGTTGCTAATTTCCAACTTCATTCCTTTATGGTCTGAGAAACTGTTGAAACCTTTACTTAATATATGCTAAACTGATCTTCTGTATATAAAGAGAATTGAAAATCAATCTTGATGTGAATGGAAGGGGAGAGGGAGCGGGAGAGGGGAGGGTTGCGGGTGGGAGGGAAGTTATGGGGGGGCGGGAGCCATTGTAATCCATAAGCTGTACTTTGGAAATTTATATTCATGAAATAAAAGTTAAAAAAAATAAAAAACCTTTTATTTAATAAATATAAATTTCCAAAGTACAACTTTTGGATTATAGCAGCTTCTTCCCCCCATAACCTCCCTCCCACCTGCAACCATCCCATCACCCACTAGCAACAACTCTGTATTGGGTTCTATATTAATCCCCACTTTATGAATGAGAACATTTAAGCTTTTTTTAAAAAAAAGATTTATTTATTTGAAAGGCAGAGTTACAGAGAGCTAGAGGCAGAGAGAGAGAGAGAGAGAAAGAGAGAGAGAGAGAGAGACTGGTTCACTCCTCAAATGGCTGGAGCTGGGCCTATCTGAAGTCAGGAACCAGGAGCTACTTCTGGGTCTCCTACATGGGTGCAGGTACCCAAGGGCTTGGGTCATCTTCTACTACTTTCCCAGGCCATAGCAGAGAACTGGATGCGAAGAGGAGTAGCCTGGATTTGAACTGGTGCCCACATGGGATGCTGGCATTGCAGGTGGCAGCTTTACCCACTACACCACAGCACAAGCCCCAAGAATATTTAAATTTTTCTTTTAAAGATTTATTTATTTATTTGAAAGTCAGAGTTACACAGAGAGAGGAGAGGCAGAGAGAAAGAGAGAGAGAGATGTCTTCCATCAGATGGTTCACTCCCCAGATGGCCGCAACGGCTGGAGCTGTGCTGATCCAAAGCCAGGAGCCAGGAGCTTCTTCTGGGTCTCCCATGTAGGTGCAGGGGCCCAAGGACTTGGCCCATCCTCCACTGGTTTCCCAGGCCATAGCAGAGAGCGGGATCAGAAGAGGAGCAGCCGGGACTAGAACCGGCGCCAATATGGGATGCCGGCGCTTCAGGCCAGGGCGTTAACCCGCTGCGCCACAGTGCCGGCCCCAAGAATATTTAAATTTAAGAATTAAGAAATTGTGCGAGGCTGGCACCGCGGCTCACTAGGCTAATCCTATGCCTGAGGCACCAGCATACAGGGTTCTAGTCCCTGTCGGGGTGCTGGATTCTGTCCCGGTTGCCCCTCTTCCAGTCCAGCTCTCTGCTGTGGCCCAGGAGTGCAGTGGAGGATGACCCAAGTGCTTGGGCCCTGCACCCCATGGGAGACCAGGAGAAGCACCTGGCTCCTGGCTTCGGATTGGCGCAGTGCGCTGGCCATAGCAGCCACTGTGGGGTGAACCAACGGAATAAAGGAAGACCTTTCTCTCTGTCTCTCTCTCTCTCTCTCATTGTCCACTCTGCCTGTCAAAAAAAAAATTGTGGGAGATCTGAGAGCTAATAAAAGGGGCACAATCCAGGTCTTGCCCCTGAGCTAATCTCAGGCGGAGGATTAGCCTATTACCCCACGGTGCTGGCCGAGCTAATCTTCTTAACCACTATTAGTGAAAACTGTTGTAATGAATTGCTGCATAATTTCCTATGTAGCAATTTTGTTTAAAGAAGATGCAGACCATTGGAAGTTTTTGGGTGATAGTCTCAGAGCGAAAAATTAGGATGGACTAGATGAAAATTGTTGCCTACAGTAGAGAAGATTTGAAGCTGCCTTTGAGTATTTACAAGGCTGTCAGGAGATGTTAAAGAGTCAATGAATTTATATAGTGTCACTCAAGAGAAAAGGGACCAGGACCAATGGATGGAAATTTCCTAGAGAAGAACTGTGGCTTAATACTAGAAAAGCATGCTACTAGGCAGAGCTGCTTAGCAGGGAAAAGTGCCATGTTGTTAGACGTACAAATATAGGCTGGATGACTTCACAGAGGTTCCCTGGAGGAGATTCAGGCATCTGGGCTAGACAGATGACATTTAAGGCTCTTCGCAGCTTATAATTAAATACAAAAAGATACAACTTCTTTTCCTGTAATCAATGGATCAGCTTACACTGCTCATATCTAACTCTGCCACCTCTTCCTTTGTTGCTTCCTCCTTCGTCAGAGCAAAACTCACTGAGCCTGATCTAGACAAACTATTAGAAAAAGATTTTTGTTTAAGTTTACATTCTCTTCCTTCCTGTGTGTCTTTCCTTCCTCTTTGTTCATTAAAAATAATTAGGCCGGGCCGGCGCCGCGGCTCACTAGGCTAATCCTCCGCCTAGCGGCGCCGGCACACCGGGTTCTAGTCCCGGTCGGGGCGCCGGATTCTGTCCCGGTTGCCCCTCTTCCAGGCCAGCTCTCTGCTGTGGCCAGGGAGTGCAGTGGAGGATGGCCCAGGTGCTTGGGCCCTGCACCCCATGGGAGACCAGGAAAAGCACCTGGCTCCTGGCTCCTGCCATCGGATCAGCGCGGTGCGCAGGCCGCAGCGTGGCGGCCATTGGAGGGTGAACCAACGGCAAAGGAAGACCTTTCTCTCTCTCTCTCTCTCTCACTGTCCACTCTGCCTGTCAAAAAAAATAAGTAATAAATAAATAAATAAATAATTAGGCCAACCCACACTTACCTTCAGTCTCACTAACATGGAAATGACTCTAGGAAAAAAATTATTTACCTATTTTTTATGCTGTACTATTTTTAGAAAAACTAAAAAAGGAGGCTTGCAAGAATACAGTAAAATAAGTTATGTTAGGTGTAACTGAGAGAAAAATAAAAGATAATAAAAAGTCAAGAATGAGGCTAATTTAGCAAAAACCCTCTACTACATTTTCCAAAATTCTTTATAATAGCAGAGGACCATTCTGACTCTTTGCATAAAGACCAGTTCATATAGACCAATTGCTTAGAAGAAATGTTTTTATTGTACTTGGATAAGACAGGAATTTCTTAATAGGATTCTAATAGCTAGTGGTGTATAGCAAATGTTGAATGATAACTTTCTAAAAAAAAGTATAATCTCATGATTAGAAAGTAAATTAGAAGTATGTCATCAGAAATTAAAAGAAAAATAAGAAAAGAACTAGGAAGAAGGGTGGGAGGGAGGCAAGAATCATTTTGGTCTTAAAACTGTATATATGAAATATATGGGGGCTGGCGCTGTGGCATATTGGGTAAAGTCGTGGCCTTCAGTGCTGGCATCCCATGGGCTCCTGTTCGAGTCCTGGCTGCTCCACTTCCAATCCAGCTCTCTGCTATGGTCTGGGAAAGCAGTGGAAGATGGCTCAAGTCCTTGGGCCCCTGCATCCATGTGGGAGACCCAGAAGAAGTTCCTGGTTCCTGGCTCCTGGCTTCAGATCAGCACAGCTCCAGCCGCTGTGGCCAATTGGGGAGTGAACCAGCGGATGGAAGACCTCTCTCTCTCTGCCTCTCCTTTTCTCTTTGTGTAACTCTGACTTTCAAATAAATAAATAAATCTTAAAAAAAAAAAAAAGGCAGAGTGACAGAGAGAGAGAAAGAGGGCAGGACACAGAGATCTTCTATTCATTAGGAAAAAAAAGAAATATATGAAATCTGTCCCCTTTGTATAAGTAAATAAATAAAAGATTAAAATGTATTTATGAATATTTACATTTAAGCATATAAATATTACTGATATGAAGACTGTATAACATACAATTTAAAAAACACCCAATGCCCCTTATTTAACTTCCATATAGCCAACTGATTTCTCACATTACGCTTTCTTTGTTTTTTGTTGTACTTTTGCATTGGTAGCCAACTATGATGTGATTCTGTTATGATTTGACAAATTGAGACAGATTCTAGTTTTCTGTATCCTTAATAAACACATTGGTATTACATGTGATGTTTGACATGAAGGTTGGCTAATATTTTCATTTTTGTGAATAAGTAAAAAGAAAGTGAAACAATGATTATGTACGTCAGAACTTTTGATCAAAGTCAATGACATGGGCAACTACTTTGCTGAACTAGGTAATAGTTGAACTAGGTAATAGTTTGAATTTTGGAAACTATTTTGTCAATTTTTGTTTTATTTACAAGGAAACAGCTACAGACACAACAACAAACTGAAGTTTTACCAGCAATAATGAACATTTTCTCCTTTTATTTTTTTTAAAGGATTTATTTATTTATTTGGAAAGGCAGAGATACAGAGACAGAAGGAGTGAGAATTTTTTTTTTAAGTATTTATTTATTTACTTGAGAGGCAGAGTTACAGACAGAGGGACAGAGAGAGAGGTCTTCCATCCGCTGGTTCACTCCCCAAATGGCTGCAACAGCTGGGGTAGGACTGATCCTTAGCCAGGAGTTTCCTCTGGGTCTCCCACACAGTGTGTGGGCCCAAGCACTTGGACCATTTTTTACTGCTTTCCCAGGCCATCAGGAGGGAGCTGGATTGGAAGTGGAGCAGCTGGGATACAAACTGGTGCCTATATTGGATACTAGTGCCATAAGCAGGTATCTAAACTCTACACCACAGCGCCGACCCCTCCTTTACTTTCTTGAGTTTAGACTGAGGGCCAGCAATCTGTGGATCTTAGCCAAATCTAGTCAGATGTTATTCAGACTTTGACCTGGCGTGGAGTTTTATATTTTTAAAGTGTTGCAAGGGAGAAGAGAAACAAAGAAGAGAATGTAACAGAGACTGTACGCATGCCTACTAAAATATTGACTATTTGGCCTTTTACAAAAAAAAAAAAAGTGCTGCTCCTTGAACAATTAGGAAAACAATTGTCAAGTCCTGATTTGTAAGACTTACCTGTTTTCATGATGCAAATACTCCCACTGTGGCTGCTTTCAAACTCTCAGCGAGATCTCTTTGGACAGGGAGTTGGGAAGAAAAACACAGCAGCTCATCATTATATAGGATTTTCGCCACAGAGAAATGTAGATGTAAAGAACCTGGAGCACATTGAATGATAAGATGTGGTAATATGATTAGAAAGTAATGAATTTGGGGGCTGGCGCTGTGGCATAGAAGGCTAAGCCTCTGCCTGCGATACCGATTCCAATGCCAGCTGTTCCACTTCTGATCCAGCTCCCTGCTACTGTGCCTAGGGAAGCAGCAGCAGATGGCCAGTGTGCTTGGATCCCAGAAGCTCCTTGCTCCTAGCTTCTGCCTGGCCCAGCCAGCCCCAGCTGTTGCAAACATTTGGGGAGTGATGGATGGAAGATCTCTCTCTCTCCTCTTTAAATAAAAAATTTTAAATGCAATAAATTTTTAGCTTTAACTACCTTTGTTTTTTTAATGTAATTCATTTACTGGTATGTTTATATACATATAATTTAAATTTTAATAATGGCTCACAAATTTTCTGAAAATGTAATAATTGGCTTTTGCAAACTTGTGTGTCAGGTCCAGCTTAACACCACATAATACATTTCCAGTGCTTTCCAGGGCTGGGAAAACCCAGTTATCATGCAAAGTGCAAATCTATTGTAGGGAAATTATTATTTATTTTCCTTCCTCCTAGAACTCATGTGTATTACCTATGAAGTAATGAGGTTTCCCTTTATCATTGCAGTATGTTGACAAATTAGACCTAATAGACCTCACAGGTCTTACTGGCCAGACTTCAACTGAAAAGAACTGTGCAAAGTTCACCCTTGTTTTGCCAAAAGAGGAAGTGGAACTGAAGGTGAGTGAGGAGAAACAGTGGTCTGCAAACAGTTATGGTTATACATGGTATCCACCTCTTTACACACAGTGACTGAGGATAAGAGGAATTGCAAAGGTGGGGGAAGGTAAGCCTTTGAGCCGATTAGTATTTCTTGCCTTTTGCCAACAGCTGGAGTTTTCTGAATTTGGATTTAAAAGAGTATGTTCGCTTGTTTAGTATACAAGCACAATGAAACCATATACTTTTGTCCTCAGACAAAGTCAAGGGTCCCACCTGGTGTTTTTAAAAGGTTGTTCTTAGATCCGTATTCAAGGTGAGCCAATGACAGTCAACCAACAACTACATTAATAACATTAAGAGAGCAACTTGCGATTTAGTAAGAGGTAATTGGAGCCTTTCACAGATTTCGGATTGACCTTGAGAGCATGGGTCTTTTAACTTCAGTATAACAGGAATCTGCTGGATGTAGGAAATCCAGGCCCTATCCTAGCCTGGACCTCAGAATCTATAAGCTCTTAGATGATTCATAGATATGAAGGTTAAGAGAGCAGGAGAGCAGACAGAGGCCTAGGTTGGATTTGGGACTGTTAGCCGTATGACTGCAGATTAGTTACTAAACCTCTTGGTAGAGAAGTCATAACTTCATTTCTTCACCCACAAGTAAGTCTTTTCTCAGATGTAATCCTCTTACTGAGATCTGCCTGGACCACTTCATTAAATTTGCAACCTTGTCCCTTGCTGTATCCCTCAGTTATACTACCAGTCTCTCTTAAGCTGCTCTACATTTTGTTTTTCCCACTTATTAGCCTTGGAGACTAAAATTTACTCACTATTATGCTCATCATTCATTGCTTCATGCTAAACCCTAAACTCCATGAGAACTAGGAGTTTTGTTTTGTTCCCTGGTATTAGGCAGAACCTAGAATAATGTCCAGCATTTGAAGGTACTCAATAAATACATTAAATGGATAAATATATAAAATAACAACAGTAAACAAATAGTGTCTTTCAGTGAGTTACCATGAAGGACAAAAATTAAGGATAAATTACAATTTAGTTTAAAGAATCTTAATTGGCTTTTTTTTTTTTTTTGACAGGCAGAGGGGACAGTGAGAGAGAGAGAGACAGAGAAAAAGGTCTTCCTTTGCCGTTGGTTCACCCTCCAATGGCCACCGCGGCCAGTGCGCTGCAGCCGGCGCGCCGCGCTGATCCGATGGCAGGAGCCAGGTGCTTCTCCTGGTCTCCCATGGGGTGCAGGGCCCAAGCACTTGGGCCATCCTCCACTGTACTCCCTGGCCACAGCAGAGAGCTGGCCTGGAAGAGGGGCAACCGGGACAGAATCCAGCGCCCCGACCGGGACTAGAATCCGGTGTGCCGGCGCCGCAAGGTGGAGGATTAGCCTAGTGAGCCACGGCGCTGGCCCTTAATTGGCTTTATTTTCAATTTTAGAATCTGGCAGTACTTCATTTCATGAAATAAAGTCTTCTGCTGCACTGAGTAGAAGTTGGTTTTATGCAGAGAGAGGTTAAACAAAGCGCAAGTGAAAAACCAAAACTGGATTGCTCATTGCAATGTTACTATCTTTATCATTTCAAAATTATTTTCTTTATCAGGTAGTGTGTGTATGGTGGACCGGAAGAGGACAGTCACTATAAAAAAGTAACTGGTTAACATTAGGTTATTTCAGGTTACCCCCTCTTCCTGTAAGCATTAAAACAGAATCTCATTGCCATGCCCACTAAAATTGCCCTGTTTGGAAAATTTGGCTGTTACCTCTCTGTTTCCTGATTTCTCAGGAGGATCAGGTAACAATGTAGATTTCATTTGGTGATGCGGAACTTTGATGGGGTGACTCCATTTTGACTTTAGTCTAGTCTGGTGGGGCCCTGTGAGGAACTTAGTCTAAAGCAATGGCTTCCTATAATTGTTTCAATAGTAGTTGCCATTGTAAGTGCTCAAAAGATGTCGATTGCTATTGTTTGTAGTGGTAGTAGTAATATTCAGAGCTAAGAATTGGCAATTTCTAATTGGATGCCCCAAACTTAAAATTAGTCAAAGTTAAATACCAATGGAGAAGGTAACCATTTGCTGACATACTGCAGAAATTAGTATTAGAATTAAAACTTAGATTTTTTAATTAAGTAAATTTATACAATTAAACTTTATTTGTAAGATATATTTCTGTTTTCTTGTAAAAGAATACAGTATTGAAATACTTCATAAATATACCTTAATAGTTATGAGAAAAGGAAAATGATTTATTCCCTTCACCTGATTTTAAATGGTTAAGAATTACTATTGACTGACTTAAGTAAAGTGCTTTAATAGAAGAATGTACGTTTTATCAATCTTGCTGGGTTTTGATGGCTTATATACTTTGGGTCATACATGTAAAATAATCATGAAATTTTAAAGTTATTTGAAGTTAATAATTAAGTATTAATGTTCAGTCATTCGTGTTTGATTGTTTATCTCTGTTTGTCTTCATCTTTAGACAGAGAACACAGAAAGCGGGGAACAATGGAGAGGATTCATTCTCACAGTATCAGAGGTAGGAAGGTCATTGCTTCTTTAAATTCTTTTTAAAAAATATTTATTTTACAGGTAGAGAAAGAGAGGAGAGAGAGAAAGAGAGAGAGAGAAGGGATGGGGGGAAAGATCCCATCTGCTGGTTCATTCCTTAGATGCTCACAAGCCTGGGCCTGGGCCAGGGCCAAGACAAAGCCAGGAGCTGGAAACTCAATCCAGATCATCCATGTGGGTTGTAGGAACTCAGTTATTTGAGCTATTATCACTGCTTCCCAGGTAGAGTTAGAAGTGAGAGCAGAGAATTGTACCCAGGAACTCTAGTGTGGGATGCAGGAATCTTAAACAGCAGGCTAAATACCTGCTCCTTGAAAGTTATTACTTTTGATTGATTCATGTATTCAAAAATATTTGCTGAATACCTATAGGAACCATGCAAAAGTAGCCGAAGCTGTAGAAGGAGGCTACAAAAAGTTCATGGAAATTGAATTATGTTTTACTACATGTTTTGAAACCTCCTAATAACAATTGAAAAAGATCTAAACTCTTGCATATGCTTAGGAATTTTACATTTTTATCAGGTGGATTTAGAAAGAGACAGAAAATAAATGAATAAACAAACAATATCATTTCACATTGTAATAATTGCCATGAGGAAAATAAACAGAGCAATGTACTAGTGAATAATGGGCGGTCAAGGAGATCAGCTTTTTAGCCTGTGGCCATACCATCCTGAATGCACCTGATCTTGTCTGGTCTCTTCTTTCAACCCAGTAGTTCTTGGGACAGCCTGATATTTGTAGCTCACATGTTCTTTTTTTTTTTTTTTAAGATTTATTTATTTATTTGAAAGGCAGAGCTACAGAGAGGTAGAGGCAGAGAGAGAGAGAGAGAGAGAGAGGTCTTCCATCTGCTGGTTCACTCCCCAGATGGCTGCAAGGGCTGAAGCTGCGCCGATCTGAAGCCAAGAGCCAGGAGCTTCTTCTGGGTCTCTCACACAGGTGCAGGAGCCCAAGGACTTGGGCTATATTCTACTGCTTTCCCAGGCCATAGCAGAGAGCTGGATTGGAAGTGGAGCAGCTGAGACTCAAACCAGTGCCCAAATGGGATGTCAGCACTGCAGGTGGCGGCTTTACCAGCTATGCCACAGCTCCGGTCCCTAGCTCACATTTTCTAAAATATCTTTCAATTACTCTCTTAGTTACTTATACACATTTATAACATGCTGATATGGATTTTTATAAACACCATAGACAACATAAAAGGGTCTAAAACATCAATACAAAAATCACTTTCAAACATTTGTTTAGTGAGTTTAAAAGAATGTTTATCTGATCAATTCTGGTATTTTGTCAGAGGCAAATTTTAAGATCTACTGCTTAGAGTTTACTGTTGCAGGGAGATCACTATCACCATGTTAAATAAAGCCACTGTAGCAACTATCTGCAAAATGTGAGGTATTTTGATAAGTAGACCCAAAACAGTACTGAATTCATCAGTAATTTAGAAGTTATGAAAACTTCCCATGTTTATTAGAATCAAATACAGATTCTATCCAAAGCTAGTTTCCAAGTAAAGCCTTGGTAGTCAGATGAGACAAGCACTGCGCTTTTCGAAGATGCTAGAGGCTAGTTATTTATCTGAGTTCTAATAGGTAAAAACTGGCAGTTCAACCACTACATAAGGAGGTTACAGGGAGGTGAGTTAAACCTGTGAGTGAGGGAAAAAATTCTTGGGGGAATTGTATTCACTCTCCCTGTTATGGAAAGGCATCATTGTTTGCCTAATTATCTACCTCTCATACTGGGCTACCAATGTTCTCAAGGGTAGGTGTCAAGGACAACACTAAAACCACTGGAACTGGAGTGCCTGGCTTGGACTCTCAGCTTTGCTCTTAATTCCAGCTTTCTGCTAATCCACATCCTTCAGAGGTAGAGCTAAAGGCTCAAATAGTTGGTTTATTGACACCTAGGTGGAAGACCTGAATTGAATTCCTGGTTCCAGATTTTGGCTTGGCCCAGTCCCAGATTTTGGGGGTAACTGGGGAGTGAACCAGTGGATGCAAGATCTGTCTGTCTTTCTTTCTGCCTCTGCCTCTGCCTCCCTGCCTCTCAAAATAAAAATTATGAACCATACACACACACACACACACACACACCCAGTGGAAAAATCTTGGTGCATCTTCTTGGTACATACTTTACGCTGAATGTCTTGGACATTTGTTTTTATTTTCCCTGAGGTAACTGTGGGGAGCAACTGGGAGCAACTCGGACTAGACTAAGTTACTGGAATTAAGACTTATTCTATGCATCTGCTTTCCCACAATATGGCGCTGAGAAGGGAAACAGCTTCTACACAGCTGCCTCCAGTTCAACCAATAAACTGTGGGACCTGCTCCTGATTGGAGGAGAGCAGTGTACTCGGCGTGTGGGTAGCAGAGTTGGGATTGGTGGAAGAGGACTATAAAGGAGGAGAGAGACGGCATGCAGGAGGAACATCTAAGGGGAACACCTGTGCAGCCCCCGAGAGAGCCGGCCGGCGGTGTGCCGCTCCCCTGCGGAAGTGGGGAATGTGGCAGGGGGAACCGCCCTTCCACGGAGGTGGAAGGGACAGTAGCCAACCCGGGAAGAACCAGCAGCAAACCCGGGGAGGGCCGAGCAGACAAAAGAACAGCGCAGGGTCCTGTGTCGTTCCTCCACGAAGAGGGGGAGCAACATAATGGTGCCGTGACTCGGATATGAAGCCTAGGCAGGGTTTAGTGTCGTTCTTCCATGAAGAGGGGGAGCGACATAATGGTGCCGTGACTCGGATAGGAAACCTAGGAGGGAAGAAACGGGAAGAAGTGGAAAATATCGGAGAGAGAGACTAGCAAACAGCCTAGGGAAAGCCGGACGAGAAAGGTGCCGGAAGAAGCTATTGAAAGCCTAGGCATAGACTCGGATACGGACTGTGGGAAAGAAGTTAGGATTTAAAGTGAAAGCAAGAAGAAACTTAGACTTAGATACGGACTGCAGGTTGAAAGTGAAAGTGAAACCTATAAGAAACTTAGACTTGGATACGGACTGTGGGGAGAGGCCAGGAGAAATGAGGGAGGAATATTGTTGGAAGAAAACTTAGGGAAACATACCGGGTAGAGAAAAATGTTAGGGAGGATGAAGCCGCGAGTGCAGGCCAAGGCGGAGACGTAAGCCATTTTGGAATTCTTCAAGTCAGCCCGGGGAGCAAGAGGCGAAGATCTGGAACCAGAGGCAGAGACGTGGGCCGCCAGGTTGGAATTCGCCAGGTTAGTCCGGGGAACTTGGATTGAATGCTAGTGGCGGAGACGTAAGCTACGCTGTGTGACTCGCGGAAGCCGCCGCGTGCAGAGAGAGCATGGGGCGTGAATAGATAGGGAACGCGGGGCTGGCACGAGGCCGTGGTGCGGACGCGAAGGGGCGTGGAGACCGCGGAGTGTGTGCGCGAAGCCGAGCCGCGCAGAGCCGGGAGCCCGCCGGCGGGGCGAGGCGCCGGGAAGCCACGCAGAGCCGTGAAGCTGCCGCGGGGTGAGGTGCCAAGAAGCAGCCTCGGGGTGGGCGCCGGGAAGCCGCAGGGACAAGAGAAACAGAAGTTTAGAAGTAAAATGAGAGAAATAGGAATGCTGGAAGATAGAAGTAAAATGGGAGAAATAGGAATGCCCGGAGATAGAGAAATAGAGAAATAGAAAGGCCTCCCCACAACATGGCAATGAGAGAGCTTGGATTCGGTCTGCCTGATTAGTGAGGCGATGAGCACCTGCGGGCGGTTGGCAGCTTATGCGCCGCAGGTCACTGAAGACAGGCACGTTATCAACACCAATAAGTCTCCCCACAATACGGCAATGAGAAGGCTTGGATTTGGTTTGCCTGATTGCTAGGGCTTGTAAGCACCTGCAGGCAGAGCAGAGCATGTGCTGCAGGGCACCGAACACAGGCACGCATCAGCGCCTAAAAACCTCCTCACAACATGGCGAAGAGAGGACCCGGATTCGGTTTGCCTGATTGATAGGACTTGTAAGAACCTGTGGGCAACTCTAGCAAGCAGAGCAGAGTGTGTGCCGCGGGGCATCGAAGACAGGCGCGTATCAACGCCAAAAATAAAAAGAAAGGGGGATCTGTGGGGAGCAACTGGGAGCAACTCGGACTAGACTAAGTTACTGGAATTAAGACTTATTCTATGCATCTGCTCTCCCACAATATGGCGCTGGGAGAGGAGGAAACAGCTTCTACACAGCTGCCTCCAGTTCAACCAATAAACAGTGGGACCTGCTCCTGATTGGAGGAGAGCAGCGTACTCGGCGTGTGGGTAGCAGAGTTGGGATTGGTGGAAGAGGACTATAAAGGAGGAGAGAGACAACATGCACCAGGAACATCTACCTGAAGGAACACCTGTGCAGCCCCCGAGAGAGCCGGCCGGCGGTGTGCCGCTCCCCTGCGGAAGTGGGGAATGTGGCAGGGGGAACCGCCCTTCCATGGAGGTGGAAGGGACAGTAGCCAACCCGGGAAGAACCAGCAGCAAACCCGGGGAGGGCCGAGCAGACAAAAGAACAGCGCAGGGTCCTGTGTCGTTCCTCCACGAAGACGGGGAGCGACATAATGGTGCCGTGACTCGGATATGAAGCCTAGGCAGGGTTTAGTGTCGTTCCTCCACGAAGAGGGGGAGCGACAGGTAACCATAAAAATCATTACTTTATATTGAAACATATAGATATATTATAAAATAAAATAAATTTCATGTAAATTTCAAGAGAAGACAAGTTGCCTCAGATTTTGTGCTCTGTAAATGTTGATTTGTGCTATGGCCCCAGGTTACTGTGTGTTGTTAGAACTTTAGTAAAGAGGTGTGAGAAGCACAGACTGTATTTGAAAGGGCTGAACATAGCCTTTCAATAAAATAAACCCACGTTTGAGTCCTGGTTCCACTTACCAGCTTCGTAGCCCTAGCCCAGTTATTTACTCTTTCTGAGCCTTGCTAAAAAATTTGTAAATTGGGAAAACAATAATTGTAGTATCACTGTGAGGATTTGCAATAACACATGTATGATACCTGAGCTACAATAGGCAATTAATAAGGAGTAGCTGTTTCAATAGTTCTTCCACTATTATTTTGTCATTTCTCGTTTGGTATGTAAGGGAATAGACTTATTAGTCACTAGCTAGTTTATTTATCTAGAAGATGGTCTCAAGATCTTTGATTATTTACTACCCGATCAGTAAATTTTTCTTTAAATTTCATATGTACAGGATATACATAACATATGCAATAATTGGAAAGAGAGAATGAAATAGTAGCTGAAAAGAAAGCAAAGTTCTAATGTTCTCTTCCCGCACTCTACTGTATTTTCTTGTATACTCCCTGGAAAGCATGTATCCTCCTTTGAAAATAGAGATGCTAATCAGACATAGCTGCCTGCAAACGTGAGTGTAGTCCAGCTAGTGTCACACAGACAAAAATAATCTACCAAACCACACCTTCCACGAGCACAGAGCTGGTTATAATGTTCTAAATTGGGAGGATGAGGTGCTCTGGAACTTTCCAGGTATTAATGAGCCAGTGAGCTCAGGATGAAAAATGGGACATTTGCTGCTACTTGAATGAACTTGTAGTGAAAGGTGTATATACCTTGTTTTGGAATCGGTCCAAAGCAAAATTTCCTTGGAAGAAGTGTGGGTACCCTTGCAGTTCTAAGACACTCACCCTAGACCAAGATCTATTTATAATACTTCACAGCCATCTCTGTGAGGTGCCTGAAGTACCTTAGGCCAAACAGGATCATTTCTATTAAAATCAGTGAATTGTTTGGCTGTCTTTCTTGACTGCCTACTGTTTTAATTGGTTGCAGTTATCAGTTCCTCAACACGTGTCGCTCCTACCTGGGCAAGTAATCAGACTGCATGAAGTACTAGAGAGAGAAAAGAAAAGGAGGATTGAGACAGAGCAGAGGCTGAGTATGGCTGTGGAAAAAGAGAAGGAACCAATTGAAGATTATGTGGATGTACTGAACACTATGCCCACGTAAGTGCACATGAACATTTTATTTATTTGATTAGGACTAATTTCTCATTATAGAGGAAAGTTAGCACTTGACCTCATTAAACCAGGAACCACTCATTGGGGATAAATGTGTATTTCTCTGAGTACATACCACATTTCCTCTTCTATGTCAAGATCAACAAAATGCAGATTTGAACCAACCCTCTCACCACACAGGAAATCCCCTTCCACCCACACTTTTATACCAGATCTTCTTTCCAGAGCTCAGATCTAAATAAAAACTCCTATGAAGAAGGAAGGAAAAGGCTTTTCTTTTTCACAACTCTATGATTGACTGATTTTCTATCAGAAAACTATACCAAACAGTTGTAAATAGCTGGGATGGTCTGTTCAACTGATTAGCTAGAGTAGTCGCTGAACTTGTACTTTGAAGAGGGCCCTGTGCAGTGTATGAGGTGTTGTTGGGAAATGAAGAGGCACACAACATCCTACATTTATTTGTTATATTGTTGAAAGCATTGTGAGCCCTTCCATTCCTCCTGGGAAGTTGGTGTTCTTGTCAATGACATTTGTCCTGGTTCCATCTTTCATGTGAGGTTCTGATGCATATTCTATCTGTACCATAGTCCCTGAAACCTGCCAACCATCGTTTTGGCTGTAATGTGCTTATTACAGATACATAAAAAAAATTAAAATTATTCCTGTCTCATCACTCAGAGATATTCTGCCACTAACATGTTGATAGATTACATATCCTGCCAGATTTTTTTCTATAACTACATATTTCTTTTTTCAAAATGTTATTTTCATTTTCTTTGGAAGGCAGAGAGACAAAGACAGAGATAGTGACAGAGGCAGACAAAACTTCCATTCACTGGTTCACTCCCCAAATGCCTACACTAGCCAGGACTGGGCCAGGCTCCAATGAGGAGCCCAGAACTTCATCCTAGTCTTCCACGTGGGTTGTAGGGACCCAATACTTGAACCATCACCTGCTTTCTCCTAGGGTATGCATTACTAGGAAGCTACAATTGGAGGTAGAGTCAGGACTTGAACTCAGGCACCCTGATATGGGATGTAGGCATCCCAAACAGCGTCTTAACTGCTGTATCAATTATTCACCTCTTTTTGTTTTAATGACTTACTGTCTAACTTAGTTTTTTTCACTTCTTGAAAGAAGGGGTGGGGGGTGGGGGTCTTCCATCCACTGATTCACTCCCTAGATGGCTGCAATGGCCAGAGCTGTGCCGATCCAAAGCCAGGAGCCAGGAGCTTCTTCTGGGTCTCCCATGCGGATTCAGGGGCCCAAGGACTTAAGCCATTTTCCACTGCTTTCCCAGACCATAGCAGAGAGCTGGATCAGAAGTGGAGTAGTCGGGACTTGAACTGGCACCTATTTGGGATGCTGGCACTGTAGACCGGGGCTTTAACCTACTGTGCCACAGTGGTGGCGCCCACCCACATATATTTATAACAGATCAAACTTGTAAATTGGGACCAAGATACATTATTAATTCTTGTCTTAGATTTTTCAAGTGGTGGTGGTGATCACATACTGATAAGTAAATAAATTTTCAGGACCTCTTGTCTAAAAAGGAACATTATTGTACTCAGAGTAGCACCGACTTACAATACTAACAATTGTTCCAATAGAGGTAGACGTTATGAGAAAAGTTAATAGCTGCAGCCTTTAGTTTTCAAGTAATGATCTTCATTAGTTAAAAAAAAATTCTGTTTTCAATTGCACCTCTGTAGATGCTTTTACACAGTTTCCCGGAAGGAAGCCACGGAGATGCTGGAGAAGCACCCTTCCTGGGGCAACATGATCCTGAGGCCCGGCAGTGACAGCAGAAACTACTCCATCACCATCCGGCAGGAGATAGAGTATGTTTGCCTTCAAATGTGTGGAGTGGGGAAAGGCATTTTACCATAGAAAGCAGAGGAACACACGTTCAGATCAGCACCTGCTGTGTGCTTTGTTGGGGTTAAAAGAAGAAACGCAAGAATAGGGGATGTGGTGTAAGTAATGCTAGCATCTCAGGCAAGGCTAGCATTTGCAGCCGGGAAGAAGATGAATGAGCAAAGCACTTTGGTCCTGGATATAGATGTTGTTTATTTATTTGATTTAACAAATATTTATTAACTGCTACCATGTGTTAAGCAATGATCTAGCATGCAGCAATGAACAAATAACATGCCATGGCCCAATGAGCTTCATCCACTTGCTAATTACCCTTTAGAAACAGATACTTTGTACACTAGGCATGAGTACTGAAGAGATGGCAAGAATGGTCCATGGTAAATAGAATCCTAGTTCTGTGTGTATGTGTACATTCTCATTTTTTTCATTTATTAAAAGCTAACATCTAGAGTTAATGGACTTTCAATTCCACTAAAAATACAATAACCTAGATTTTTAGTTATAACTTGCTTGATTTATAATTTAATTGACTAAATTGAAACAGAAATAAAAATTTATGACTGCCATCAAATATCAGCGAGCTTAGATGAACTCCTTAGAGTGGACTTTTTAATATTACCTGGTCTAGGAGTTTGTCCTTTATTTTATTATTTAAGATTTTTATTTATTTATTTGAGAGGTAGAAATATAGACAGAGGGAGAGGCAGAGAGAAAAGTCTTCCATCTACTTGTTCACTCCCCAAATGGCTGCAATGGCCAGAGCTGGGCTGATCCGAAGCCAGGAGCCAGGAGCCAGGAGCCAGGAGCTTCTTCTGGGTCTCCTATGCAGGTGCGGGAGCCTAAGCACTTGGGCCATCTTCTACTGCTTCCAGGCCATAGCAGAGAGCTGGACTTGAAGAGGAGCAACCAGGACCAGAACTGGCGCCCATGTGGGATGCCGGTACCAAAGGCAGAAGCTTAGCCTACTATGCCACAGCAGCGGCCCTGGAGTTTGTCCTTTACAAAGGCTTTGGAAATTGAGTATCACAAAAAACACAAAATGTCTTTATACCCACTTTTAAGAAGAAGTGGCTGTAAAACAAATTTACGTATATTTTTAAAACAGAAATATAATCTGATTGAATGCAAAATCAGATAACACAAGGGAGTGATTTTTCCCACCTTCATATTATTCTTTTCTTAGTCTGACTGTTTGTTCCATGTGCATACAAACCCTGTGTTACTATGCTGCATAGTATGCATAGAATGCAATCCCAAGAAATGATGACTCTATAAAGACCATAGATGAGGATGCTTCAAAAAGTTCATGGGAAAATGGACCTAAAACTTTATTTTGGTGCAAAAACATTCTGATACAGATGTGGTTTGTGCCCCGATGAAATGAATTTCTATACTTAAGATATAATTTTTTTAAAGATTTATTTATTTATTTGGAAGGCAGTTACAGAGAGAAAGGGAGAGACACAGAGAAGTCTTCCATCTGTCGGTTCACTTCCCAATCAGCCAAAATGGCCAGAGCTGGGTCTGGGCCAGGCAGCAACTCCATCCATGTTTCCTACCTGGGTGGCAGTTGGGCCATCTTCCACTACTTTCCCAAAAACAGCAGCAGGGAGCTGGATTGGAAGTGAATCAGCCAGGAATCACTGCAGGTAGTGGCTTAACCCACTGTGCTACAATGCCAGCCTCATAACCTTATACTGTCACATATATTACAGTGCTCCTCATATCCATGACTCGTCGGAGAAAACACATTTTTCTTATTCTCTTTTCTGTTTGCATACATTACATATATGAATAATAACAGGAAAAATAAAAATATCCAAATTTCAGAGTCATATTTTACTCTTCTCCATTGTCCCTTTGTTATTCAGCCAACTTTTAAAAAATATTATATATATATATTTACCTAGAAACCTTTTTTTGAGGTATACAAACTTCATGTGTTTCTTCCCACACTATTTTCCTCCTGCCCGCATTTCCACCCTTCTTCCTCCCTCTCCAATTCCCATTTTTATTTTTTACAAAGTTCTATTTTCAAACAACTTTTTACTCAGAAGATTAACCCTACACTTAGTAAAGAGTTCAGCAAATAGCATGAAGAAAAAAAAATACCATTACTCAACAGTCGAGACAAGGGCTGTTCAAAGTCATTGCATCTCAAAGTGCCAACTTCACTCCTATGGATTACCTTTTGTTTTTTGAAAGATTTATTTATTATTTATTTGAAAGTCAGAGTTACACAGAGAGAGAAGGAGAGGCAGAGAGAGAGAGAGAGGTCTTCCAACTGCTAGTTCACTCCCCAGTTGGTCGCAATGGCCGGAGCTGCGCTGATCCAAAGCCAGGAGCCAGGAGCCTCTTCTGGGTCTCTCACACGGGTTCAGGGGCCCAAGCACTTGGGCCATCCTCTACTGTTTTCCCAGGCCATAGCAGAGAGCTGGATCTGAAGTGGAGCAGCTGGGACTTGAAGAGGCACCCACATGGGATGCTGGCACTGCAGGTGGAGGCTCTACCGGCTACACTGCAGTGCCGGCCCTTAGATTACCTTTTAGGTACTCTATTAGTTACCACAGAGAGGGAGAACATTAGATATTTGTCTTCTGGGGACTGGTTTATTCCACTAAGTATAATGGTTTCCAGTTGCATCAATTTTGTTGCAAATGACAAGATTTCTTTTTCTTTCTTTCTTTTTTAATGTTGCGTAGTATTTGATAGTGCATCTATACCATAATTTATTTAGGATATAAATTTAATGTTGCAGTTTTTATTTGTATTTGTGTTGATTTAAGCTATATTTAAATTCATAAGGAGCCTGACAAAGGATTTTATATCAAAGTTACATAATTCTCATTGTATTGAGCTCACTTGCAGATTTGATTCTGCTTTTGTCAGCTGAAATTTATAATATTTCATAGAACTAATAACTGTATCCCCTCTCCCCCAAGTACATATTTAGGAAGCAAGTGGGGTCGATTGGTCAAACTGAAGACTTCTAATACTGTGGCAAAGAACTTGGGCCTGAAAATGGCCAAGAAAAATTTTTACTGCTATTGTACAAATTGTCCTTAAGAGCAGATACATCTGTAATATTAAGGATTGTTACATGTGTTCTTAAAGGCATCAAAACAACCCTTTTAGAATGCCCAACTTTAATATCTTCTATTTATCAAGTCACTTAATTTCCAAGGCTGGCAATTGTAGAGAGGATCAGAATTTTGCTTGTTATACTACAAAGCTTAATGTAAAGAATTTGGTAGAAACTTAGACTATTAGGAAGCACCTGTGTTACCCATAAAACCAACTCATTCTCTCTCAGGTTATAGGAGACGTGTTCAGTCAAGCAAGTCAGATGACTGTGTCTGGTAAAACACTGGCTAAAAAGGACAAGCTGGTTTACAAAGCAGCACTTGAAAGTAAAATTATCTCCACCTGTTAATAGATCAGCTGTGGGGGGGGGAGTCTGTTCTCAGAAGTAAACAAAAGTCAATCAATGTGGAAATATCAGCTGACCCCTCACTTGGTGCAGAATATCATCCCTCTGCCCAGCCCAGTGGACTGTGAATTCATAAGACAAAATGCTATTCTTATAACAAATATCATGGTTGGTTTTTGTGTTCTTGAAACTATTATGACCTGGAGCCAAGCTAATACCATTGGCACTTTAGAAAGCCATTAAGCTAAGGAGGCAGTAGAAAACATTTACCCAAAATCCACTTCTTTGCAAAAATTGAGGTCAGATCCTAAGAAAATGTACCTAGTACTTTAGGCCACATGTTTTCTAAGAAGACTAGTTTCTTCTTTTTTTACGTCACAATCAGGAGACACTAATATAGAAAATTTTATCAATCTTTTTCCTACCCTTATTATTTCTTTGGAAGATCAAAGCAAAAGAAGATATGGGAAAAAAAAAAAAGGTCTAAAATGAGATTAGAAGCCTAAGCAGCTTCCATGGAATTTTTTTTTTTTTTTTTTTTTTTTTTTTTTGTATTTCACTTTTTGCTTCATAATTGAACCTTGCTGGTCTGAAGCTCCAGGAGACCCTGTTGTTCTTCGCCACGCCTCCTCTCACAGCTTTCCCTTCAGTGATGATGCTGATGACCCTGGCGGTTAGGTGATGGTGATCAGGAACATCAATCTTTGTTCCTCCTCTAGGATAGCACTTGTGGCCCCCATATTGAATGCTGGCAAATATTTCTTCAGGCCCAGTAATGACTTTGAGGCAGACAGTATTTTCCATGTTTTTCGAATTCAGAAGCTGAGATTCCTAGATGTAAGCAAATTCAAACAAAAATTTAAAAGTACTGAAAATAATTAAAATTTACTGAGTGCTTAACTGTGCCAGACACTCTACTGGGGGCTTTGCAAAAGGTTAACTCACAGCAGCCCCACAAGGCTGGGCAGCATCATCCCTACATGACAAGTGCAGAACCAGAGGCTCAGGGAACCTACGTGACAGGCACAGAACTGGAGGCATGTTTTCTACTATTCTTTCAAGGAACAGAAATCACTTATTTTACAGAAATATGGGAATTCTGCTTACATTGGATTGGAGAGTGTTTTCAAAAGTATCTGTTGGATTACAAAGATCTTTTCATGATAGAGGAAAAAGCCAGAGCCAACCACCTTGAAAGAATACTTGCCATACTTAACAGAGAATGCTTCCTCTATCAGTGTGTAACTGGTTCCTGAAGTTTAAGCATTAAGGAATATTTTCTTTTAGGAAGGGAGGGGGCTGGCCGGTTTCTATCCTGTGTTTTGAAAGTAGGAATTAACTGTTAGCTGTTTTCCTATATGACATCCAGTTGAGAGGAAATTTGTGTAAAATGGTTAATGAGGAGAGAGTCCCCCAAACAGAAGACTTCTTTCTGTGCAGTTCCTACCTACAGGAATCTGAACTGGAAATGGAGAGAGAGTGATTTAAAAAAAGAAGGAAAAAACACAAAAACAAAACAGGTGAAAAGGCCCTGAAGAGCAAGTTAACCTGATGAGAAATTTTACTTAAGATAGCTTCCATGCATAGGACAAATGTTGAATTAATTTGTTATTGAAGCAAATAACAACATTTGGCTTTCTAGCACTCTAATCAAAAGAATTGAAGAGAAACATACTGTTGTTCAAAACTAACTAACTAATATGGGATACTGCCTTCTCAAGTTCATGTAGTTCTAGCAGATAGTATGAGCTGGGCTCCAATATTTTTAAAATTCAGTTTCATAAATATTTACTGTATATCCAAAGCTGGGGTACTGAGAATTAAAAGGTTATGCCTTTTGTTCTTAAGTATTTCTTAATCAAATACCAGGCATCTAGGGTGCCAATAGAGTGCTACATGACTATAAATAGAAAAACCATTAGGATTCATCTAATGTGTTTACATTCTCACCCACATGTTCATAGAGGACCTGACACCTAGCATTTTCCATATCTTCATGTTAGCAGATATCCAGAATGGTGCATGAGCTAGCAGAAATAACAACTACTGATTGTTTTCTGGTTGAACAGTGATGAGGAAGAGTGGAAAGCAATAGATTTTCAACAATCCTTTCCACTTTTTTTTTTTTTTTTGACAGGCAGAGTGGACAGTGAGAGAGAGAAAAAGAGAGAAAGGTCTTCCTTTTGCCGTTGGTTCACCCTCCAATGGCTGCCGTGGCCAGCGCGCTGCAGCTGGCGCACCGCGCTGATCCGATGGCAGGAGCCAGGTACTTCTCCTGGTCTCCCATGGGGTGCAGGGCCCAAGTACCTGGGCCATCCTCCACTGGACTCCCTGGCCACAGCAGAGGGCTGGCCTGGAAGAGGGGCAACTGGGACAGAATCCGGCGCCCCAACCGGGACTAGAACCCAGTGTGCCGGCGCCGCAAGGCGGAGGATTAGCCTAGTGAGCCGCAGCGCCGGCCCATCCTTTCCAGTTTTTAAAAATATACAGACTATATACTTGATTTGTAAATGCCCACAGAAGAGTTTATAATGTCCACTTTTTAAGTTACTGACATTTTAGAAAAGTTATTTCTGTCCAAAATATTTCATTTCTGGATTTCCTTTTCTCTGTTATTCTTTCTCATTCACTCAGTAAAATGACTGTAGTTTCTCATATCCCTAGTGTATAACCTCTCTAAAAGAGACAAAGCAAACCAAATAAACAGAAAAACAAACATCACGACTTTTTGTCCAACTACAGCTATAGGAACATAGGTTAACTAGGCAAGTGACATTTTTACACGCTATTCTGCACCACCCCAATCAAATAATCAAATGGTGATTAACCATTTGTTTCATTTCAGCATGCCAAGAATCAAGCACTATAAAGTGATGAGCGTAGGAAAAAACTACACTATTGAACTGGAAAAACCTGTAAGTATTTCTTTATTATTGATGAAATTTCTCTTGAGTCCTACTCGGCCTAACTTGTCGAACACAAAAAGAGGTGGGGGAAAAAAGAACAAGCAGACTTTTCCCTAGGGACCTAGTTCTGGCCAAAAATAGCCAAGTGGAGGAGCTGTGGGGGAGGCAGATATCCAGGGTGAGAAAGAAGGTGCAAGAAGAGTAGAAGACACCCTGCTTCTAAAGATGCTTGCATTACAATGCTTTCAGAGAGAGAAAACTATTTTTATTAAACATGCTTTATGTCCTCTCACTATATGTCTTTAAATGTGCCCATTTTTAATAGGAAGAATCTGTGAATGCTTAGTTCTCTAATACTTCCCATGCAGGATTTCAGAAATCCCCTCTGAAAATCAACATGGCAGTGAAGAAAGGGTTTTTTCTTGGTCTTTTTTTAAAGATTTATTTTATTTATTCGAAAGGGGGGAAAGAGACAGAGAGAGAGAGAATAAGAAAGATCTTCCATCCGTTGGTTCACTCCCTCAATGGTTCCAATGGCTGGGGCTGGACCAGGTGAAAACAAAGAACCTAGAACTCCATCCTGGTCTCCCATGTGAGTGCAGGGGCCTCAAGTACTTGGGCCATATTCCACTGCTCTCCCAGACACATTAGCAGGAGCTGGATTGGAAATGAAGGAGCTGGGACTCAAACCAGTACTCCCATGGGATGTTGGTATTGGAGGTGGCCACTTAACCCACTGCGCCACAACATCAGCCCCCCCCCTTTTTTTTTGCCAGGCAGTTAGTGTGTGTGAGAGTTATAGACAGAGACAGAGAGAAAGGTCTTCCTTCTGTTGATTCACCCTCCAAATGGCCTCTATGGCCAACGCTGTGCCGTTCCGAAGCCAGGAGCTGGGTACTTCCTCCCAGTCTCCCATGCAGGTGCAGGGATCCAAGCACCTGGGCCATCCCTCCACTGCCCTCCCGGGCCACAGCAGAGAGCTGGACTGGAAGAGGAGCAACTGGGACTAGTACCTGGCGCCCCAACCGGGACTAGAACCCAGGGTGCCAGCACTACAGGCAGAGGATTAGCCAAGTGAGCCATGGCGCTGGCCCCCTTTTTGTTCTACAACCTCCTCTCACTTTAGCTGGCTTATCATGAATATAACCGTCATCACCAGATGTGTTAAGCACACTTACATATATCATTTAATGAAGTCTTTATCATGACCCCAAAGTAGGTATTGTCATGTGTATTATATAGGTGAGAAAATTGGTATTTACAGTGGGTTTAACCAATGAGAATGTGGCAATGTGGCCTACATTCTAGAATGTTGAACAAAGGGACTAGAGCTGTGCGATGTTACACTGTAGTGGTGGGATGACTGGGCCAGTTAGATGTCTCTGGACATCATTTAAATAGAACTCGTTTCTCTAAAAATGAGCTCCTAGTCCTCTACCTCTCTGTGCTCGTGTTAATCAACTAAAGAAAAAGGGACAGTGTGGTTGACTTGCTTGGATTTTTCATCAGAGCGCTTGTAGAAGGCAGCTGCAGGTTCATGCAGCCCACTTACACCTGTCCACAAAATGCATCCCAGAGCTTCTCAGTTCTCAGATCCATGCCTGTTCTGGCTTTCTCAACAAAGTTCTAATGATGGAGGATGATAAGTACATTTCTAAATACTAATACAAATAATCAAGTGACTAGAAGCAATTGCCAGAGAACAATAATGGGTTTTTAGAAAATGGTGATTGGGCTCATTTCTGCCATTGTCCATGCATACAGTCCATAGTGTAAGGAAAACCGAACGCCTGGATTATTATCCCTTCTTTCACCTCTGTAACCCTACCCCTTAACTAGATTGTATTTTTGTGAATTCCTTTTATGCTTCAAGGTTCACTGGGATATTCAGGTTTAACCTGATATCATTTGTCTAATAATACTGGTTTAAGGAGCTAGAGACAAATTTCAGTTACAACTAGACCTCAAACTGTCCTTTTATATTGATATTAAAATGCTCAAATTCTCAGACTCTAAGAGCACCTTGGATTCAATCAGGAGAAACCAAATATGATTAATTAAAGCAAAAATGAATTTATTATAACATCAAATGACTGGAAGGTTAGCAAACCTTCAGGGACTAGAAAGCATTTATTGAGGAAGCTGTTATCTTCCTTGTTCTCAACTCAAGTTCACATTTCAGGAAGAGAGCATGTTCTGGCCTAATGTGGGTCCTATTCTTATGCTGTAACTGGGAGAAAGCAAGGTATCTGATTATGTCTACCAGATTTTATCCATTGGGAAAGGGGGAAATTCTCAACAGAAAATTGACACGTGGTTGTTGCTGTTGATTCTTCTCTGAGGATTCGTTCTGAGAGGAGGAGCGTGGTGGGGGCAAGAGCACAGAGTCACCACACAGACCCCGGGAGTCGGGTGAAAGCAGGCCTGAGGCGGGCAGCCTGCAGACTCGTTTATTTCAGTTGCTACAGCAGCTTATATAGCCAAGACAGCCAATCCGGTCAAGGGGCGGTTTATGCCTTAACCAATCATAGCCTGTTTCCAGGCAGGCTCTGTTGCCAGGTGGATTTCAAAGCCATTCCTGAGTAACTGAAGCTTGCTTGCCAGTGGCCATCTTGGCACGGCCTTCTCATTCCACCACACATGGTCAGTCAGAAATAAATAAGACACATGGACAGGTAAAACTATAGTCACATAAACCACTTACATGAGGGATTCATCTTGGGGAGATCAAGAAATACGTAGTAATCTACGTTGAATTTCGGCTGAACCCTCTCTTACTCTAACTTTACCCAGCTAACTACACTAAACCCTCTCACTTTGTCTTTATACAGGTAACACTCCCAAACCTTTTCAGTGTCATTGATTATTTTGTGAAGGAAACTCGAGGAAATTTGAGACCATTTATATACTCATCAGATGAAAACCTTGGTATGTTCTTCATTTTACTGCTGTGCTAAAAAAAATCAAAAAAACAAACAAACAAAAAAACAAAGAACCCCCCCCCAAAAAAAAAAAAAAACAACTCTACATATGATTTGTAATACCGGCCAGGTAGGAACTGTAGTTTAGCCTTTAAATCTACCTACGTGGAAATAATTTTGCTAATGAGTCTATAAAAATAAAGGAGTAGCAATGTATCCTTGTGGATCTACTACAGATCCATTTTAGGGAATGAAAAGCTCTGAGGCATGTATTATGACTATGAACTTCACTCCATTATTCTACTGGGCTTACTCAAACAATTTAGAGACAAGAGAAAAATCATAACCAGAGTCACAGAAACCACCAAAATGGGAGTTTAAAGGGATACTCTGTCAAAGATGTTAGATGTTCCAGAGAGAATAAAAGGGATGAGGGTGAAGGAGAGTTTGTGGAAATTGACCAGTAGGCTTCACATTGTATTCTGTTATAAAGGCAGAAGTCAAATCGGAAGATAAGTAAGAATGAGTGGGTGGTGAGAAACTACAGATAAAGATTGTAGTTATGACATGCTACAGAATTTGTGGGTCCTTTAATCATAAATTAAGAATCTCAAAACAGACCAAGAACTCAAACAAGGGACACTGTGCAAAGTTCGCATGGCCATTATAGGGTCATGATTTGGCCTAGCAGAGTAAGCTGGATGTGATAGTCTTTTGCCTGTCCTTTGCAACAAACTGTGCTCTGTGTGATCACTGGAAAACTGTAATTAGGATACATAAACTATATCCAACTTGTTTGGACTGGAGTTACCAAAACACATCCCTGTTCCTACAGAGTATGAAAGAAACAACTATTTGGCAACCTGCATCACAGACATATCTGGAAAAGCTACTTCAAAGGACAGCAAGTGTAAAAGTCTGAGTTCTTAAACATCACTATGCACTGGTGATGCTAACTAACGATAGCAGCAAATCTCAAAAGCTCAAGAATCTGAAGGAAGTTTTAGAAAATCACCAAGTACAGTGTCTTACTCTGGACAGGGTCACCTGCACACCAGCTCAGGAAACGCATCTCAGATGTGACCATTCAGCTTGGTTGGCATTTTCTAATGTTAGAGGGCTCACTGACATTGGAGGCACCATGGTTCACTTCTGGGCATTTAGAGAATTCTTCCTTGAGTCTGAAAAAGTCTTTCCTTTATCTCCTACATATTAATTCATTGTCTGGTTTTGAAGCAACATAGGCTCTTATGCAGCTCATTGAATATTTAGAGTTGGCCCATAAAGTCTCCCCTTAGTCTTTTCTCTCTATGCCATCTAAATTATTGGTTCCTCTCACTCTCATCTTTGACATTCTCTGTTCACTAGTTTCTGAATATAATCCCTTAAAAATGTAACTACAAGCGACAAACACATTACTGTAGGAATGGGCAACATAACACATTATCTAAGCTTTATGCAAGAAAAAAAATCACCTAACAGAATTTTCTGGAAATGAGCTATTACTATAAGCTGCCACCAATCCCCTCACTTATTCAGGACAAATCATTTCCTGTAATATCTAAAATAAAATTTGGGGGGAGAGGGAAGAAAATCCAACATAACTTGCCTCCTTCATGGATGATCTAATGCCATGTAACAAACCAACCCCAAACATAGTGGTTAAATCAACAGCCATTTGACGTGAGCACAGTTCTGTGGATCAGGAACCTGAGATTCAGCGGGACGGTTCTCCTAGTCTCACTTGGTGTCATGAGACTGCCAGCAGCCGGTGGCTAGGCTGGGGCTGTGTGGTCCCGGTTAGCCTCGTTCCCACACCCAGCGCTGCCTGTCAGTTGGAGCTTGCTGAGCCACTCTTCACCTGTTCTCCAGTCCCTGAGGAGGTTAGTCCAGGCTCTCTTACCTGAGGTCTCAGAGCAGCAGGCAGAGAGGGGTGATGGCATGTCCTTGGGCTAGGCATTCTTAATGCTGGAGAGGAAGTACAGATAGCATCCTTGGAGCTTTTAAGAAGCGTGAATTGAATAATTCCAAGTGTGATATGTGTTCCATGCAGGGCTATTTTTTCTTTCCTTCTATTTTTAAAAATATGCTTTTTAAATTCACATACAGTAAAATTCATACAGTCCTACGAGTTTTGACAAACACTACCACAATCAAGAAACAGAAGTTTCTATCATCCAAGAAATGCCCTCACATTCTTCATTATAGTCAGCACTTCTTCCCAGCAGCAACCCCTGGCAACCACTGTTTGGTATCCATATCTATATTTTTGTCTTTTCCAGAATGTTTTATAAATGGAATCACAGGGCCGGCACCGCGGCTCACTAGGCTAATCCTCCGCCTTGTGGCGCTGGCACACCAGGTTCTAGTCCCCGTCGGGGTGCCGGATTCTGTCCCGGTTGCCCCTCTTCCAGGCCAGCTCTCTGCTGTGGCCAGGGAGTGCAGTGGAGGATGGCCCAAGTGCTTGGGTCCTGCACCCCATGGGAGACCAGGATGGGTGCCTGGCTCCTGCCATCGGATCGGCGCGGTGCGCTGTCCGCAGAGCGCCGGCTGCGGCGGCAATTGGAAGGTGAACCAGCGGCAAAGGAAGACCTTTCTCTCTGTCTCTCTCTCACTGTCCACTCTGCCTGTGCCGAAAAAGTTTTCCACCCACCATACCAAGTTCCAATTTTTTTTTTTCCCCCCCCCATTAAGTATTTGTCCCTTTTTTTTGGGAAATAATCAAACTACATTACTGTATTTTTCAGAGTGCTGTACATACTCTGGATAAGTTGTCAGGTGATTTGCAAATATTTTCTGTCTATAGTTTCTCTTTTCATTCTTTTTAACAGTATGTTTTCCAATCAGAAGTCTAAAATTTTGATAGAGTACAAATAATATTTTGCTATACATTCTATTTTTTGGTGTTGTATGTGAGACTTGTTCACCTAACCTATGATAACAAAGATTTTTTTTTATTTTATTTTAGACGTGTTACAATTTTATATTGTACATTTAGGTCTATGATTCATTTTGTTTCTTTTTTTTAATTTTTTTTTTTTTTGACAGGCAGAGTGGACAGTGAGAGAGAGAGAGACAGAGAGAAAGGTCTTCCTTTGCTGTTGGTTCACCATCCAATGGCCGCCGTGGCCAGCGCGCTGCGGCCGGCGCACCGCGCTGATCGGATGGCAGGAGCCAGGTGCTTCTCCTGGTCTCCCATGGGGTGCAGGGCCCAAGCACTTGGGCCATCCTCCACTGCACTCCCTGGCCACAGCAGAGAGCTGGCCTGGAAGAGGGGCAACCGGGACAGAATCCGGCGCCTCGACCGGGACTAGAACCCGGTGTGCTGGCGCCGCTAGGTGGAGGATTAGTCTAGTGAGCCGCGGCGCCGGCCCTATGATTCATTTTGAATTTCTGTGAAAAGTGGAAGAGATGGGACAAGGTTCATCTTACTTGCATTTAGATGTGTAAGTGTTCCAGCACTATTTGTTTAAAAAGATCATCCTTTCTCTATTGAATTCCTTTTGTATCTCTAAAAAAACAATTCACTATATTTGTGTGGCTGTATTTCCATTGATGAATGTTTCTACTCTTTTGTCAAAACTACATAATCTTTTTTTTTTTTTTTTTGACAGGCAGAGATAGTGAAAAACTAAAAGTGAGACAGAAAGACTTCCTTTTTCGTTGGTTCCCCCAAAATACCACTAGGACCGGTGCACTGTGCTGATCTGCAGCCAGGAGCCAGGTGCTTCTTCCTGGTCTCCCATGCGTGTGCAGGGCCCAAGCACTTGGGCCATCCTCCACTGCATTCCCGGGCCACAGCAGAGAGCTGGACTGGAAGAGGAGCAACTGGGACAGAATAGGGCGCCCCAACCGGGACTAGAACCCAGGGTACCGGTGCTGCAGGCAGAGGATTAGCCAAGTGAGCCGTGGCGCTGGCCAAAACTACATAATCTTGACTACTGTTCTATTTACTTAGGTTGTCTAATTTCTTTCACAGAACTTTGTTGCTTTTAGCCTATAAGTTTTGTACATATATTGTTAGATTTGTAACTCTTTTTTTATATTTTATTTTATTTAATGAACATAAATTTCCAAAGTACAGCTTATGGATTACAATAGCTTCCCCCGCCCCCCATAACTTCCCTCCCACCCACAACACTCCTCTCTCCCACTCCCTCTCCCCTTCCATTCACATCAAGATTAATTTTCAATTTAGATTTGTAACTCTTAATTTTTTGGTGCTATTGTAAATGATGTTTTTAAAATTTGAATTCCAAATAACCACTAGTAGTACTTAAAATATAATAACAGGCTTTTATAGATTTATCTTTTATTCTAAGATTTTGCAAGTCATCATTTTCTAAAACTTTTTTGGTAGATTTGTTAGGCTTTTCTATATAGAAATAATGGTATCTGTGAATAGATAGTTTCAGTTTGTTTTCTTTCTTTCTTTCTTTCTTTTTTTTTTTTTAAAGATTTATTTTATTGATTTGAAAGACAGAGTTACAGAGAGGTCTTCCATCCGCTGGTTCACTCCTCAGACGGCTGCAATGGCTGGAGCCGCGCCGATCCAATGCCAGGAGCCAGGAACCAGGAGCCAGGAGCTTCCTCTGGGTCTCCTACGTGGGTGTACGGGCCCAAGGACTTGGGGCATCTTCCACTGCTTTCCCAGGCCATAGCAGAGAGCTGGATTGGAAGAGGAGCAGTCAGGACTAGAACTGGCGCCCACATGGGATGCTGGTGCTTCAGGCCAGGGCTTTAACCTAATGTGCCACAGCGCTGGCCCCTTCAGTTCGTTTTCTAATCTTTATATATTTTATTTTTCTTGTCTTACTGCATTGGTTGGTGTCCAGTGAAATTCTGTATAGAAGCAATCAGAGCGGATATCCTTTCTTTCTTTCTTTCTTTCTTTTTTTTTTTTTTTTTTTGACAGGCAGAGTGGACAGTGAGAGTGAGAGAGAGAAAGGTCTTCCTTTGCTGTTGGTTCAGTCTCCAATGGCCGCTGCGGCCGGCGCGCTGTGGCCG